CTTTTTTTTTTTTTTTTTTTTTTTTAACAAGAGACAATTTCATTTAGGGTTGAAATTTACAAACGGAATGTAATATCCATGATGTTTACAAAAGACCTTTCCAATTTACGGTGAGGGAGATAACTAAAAATATTAGACAGTTTCCACCGAGATATACCTTGGTAAACAACATTTTTGAAGAGTTTTGTATAAGTCCGAGTCTTTTCCTAGAAAAAATTTATGCTTCTATGCAAAAGGGATTGTGAGAATTAGAAGCATCTTTTCCTAACTGTTTTTTGCACAAGGGCTATTTTGTAGGCCGAGGATATTCAACTACACAAAAGAAATAGGTTCAAACGGTTTGAAGAAGAGGAAGGAAAAACTTCTAATTTTTTAAAAGACAAGACTTTAGTTCCCAATAAGAGCCTCGAGGAAACATTTTCGATCCTTCCAACTGATACGAGTTAAAAGGGAAGGAAACTACAGAAGTGCTCACCCTCCAGTTATTAATTATTTTCTATATTAAAGAAAATCTAATTTCTGAATTCTAAAAATAAATAATTGCAGTCTAACGTGAGCCACCACCCTAGTAAACTTGATAATGAAGAGATGAAAAAAATGATAATTGTTAATATTATAGTTTAGCCATTTACATCTGTCCTAGATAAGTATCAAGTCATTTGGAGGGTTGTTTATAACTCCTTTGGCTAGTTCGTAGTTGGATTCTGCTTTTCATTATTTCTTTAGATTAATGGTAGGGTTTTTTTCACTTCTAAAATCAAGGAACTAACACAAAAATGTCCATCACAAATGATATTGTACCTTGCCGATACAATTGGATACCCAAGGGCAGTGGTGATCAAATTGTTCAACGCATCGATTACAAGTTGCACAGTGCTTAGCACGAAGAGGCCTGACAATCTAGGCATGATACCAAATCAAGTTAAAAATGTAACAAAATGATCAATACCAAAAAGAAATTAGACAACTATAAAAGAAATGAAAACACGATCTTCAAAATTCAGAAGCAGAACGCACCTTGCAAGTAGCACAGAGCTGAGACCAATTCCCAGCCAGCAAAGCGGGGTTGTTGACCTCGATCTTCAACAAAGGTTCCTAACGGAAAGATATGTGAACATAATTAAGCTTTCACCTTTGGCATACAGATTACAGTAAAGAAAGAAGACTGCTTAATCGTAACAATTAAGTAGAAACTTTTAAAATTCTACAGAAACAAATGCTGGAAGAGGAGGAAAGAGGTATGGAAAATTGTTACTCTCATTACTTAAGGACAGATACTTAGAGGAAAATAAGTAACTCACATCATCTTTCATACTCTGAGAGTCATGCATGTTCAATCTAATGAAACCTGGATCTTTGCTGAAGATTAATTAAACATAAAGAACAAGCTGTTATTAGCAAATAAATCAAGCTCCATTGTTACAATCTATAAATATTCGACAACAAAAAGAATGAACCGTCTTCAGGGAAGTTTCCATACCTGCTACATCTATAAAACATGAGCAGACCTGTAGTTGCTAGAAGAACACCCATCCATGCAAGAAGACCTAAGCCAGCCGTTAACTTTGGGAGATTTGATGCTGTTTTAAAAATGCAAAACAAATTAGATTAATTATTAAAGAGACAAAGAGAAGTGTTCTCAACTTTCACGTGAAGCATATGGAAATACCCAAAACGACGGAATGAATATATGTCACCAGCAATAGAAAGATCAAACACCAAAGTACAGGGGCAAGTCCTAGTTTTGAAAATTTTCCAAGGCGGGTATTTCCATCACAACGTTTGTCAAGCAGCTTTCTAGCATTTCCCTGAAGATTCAAAGCATAAAATGTTTAGTTTCTTTTTATACAAGAAACAAAGTTTCAGCTAAGAAAAATGGTCACCAGAAAAGGAAGACGAGAAATCCTACAGTAATAGAAGAGATTAAAATATATAAACGTATAGACCAATGAAATAAGAAAAATATCACTGAAACCGATTTTTTTTTTTTTACAATAAAAAACTGAGCTTTCATTGAGAAAAAAAGAAAGAAAACAAGGACATACAAGAAACAATCTCAACAAAAAAGGAGTCCCAAACTAGCTAACTACATGGACATACAAGAAACAATCTCAACAAAAAAAGGAGTCCCAAACTAGCTAACTACATGGACATACAAAAAACAAACTCAACAAAAAAGGAGTCCTAGAACTAGCTTCTAAAACAAACTCCACTTGAACAAGATCAAACCAATATCATAATTACAGAACTTTAACCCCTATTAATCTTAAGGCCCGACACTGTTTTTTCGTTCAGATTCACAAAGGAGATTTCCTTACCAGAACAGAAAAACTCATGAAGATGTGATAGCTAAACTAACTCCCTACCCACCTTAAACCCCTCAGCCACCCCTTTTCCACACCAACCACACAAGCCTGCTTAAAACATCCACCACTAAAACAAAAAGGAAAAGTGAGAGAGGTCCCCTTGCCTAAGCACCGAGAAGAAAAAATGCTCCCTCTATGACATTGACAAAGATGGAAAGGTTTCCATATCTAGTACAGTTACACATCCAAGATCTCCATTTAACTACCAAAACCTTATCTAAAGAATTTCAGTCCACATGATCATATGCTTTTTTAAAATCAACCTTGAAACACTCGAACACAAAGATCTTTCAACTATTTTGTCATAAAACCGAAAGGGAAGCCAAGATAAAACTACGCATCAAACATATCTTCTCAATACTTTCACTTTCTTTTGCTTCAAACCCCAAAGAGTTGCCATACCAGCACAAGCAAATGAAGTACCCCTCATCTTAATCCCCAACCTTTGGGGGTGGGGTGGAAGATCTTTTTTTCAGAATGAAAAAACAAAACAAAAATCCTCTTCATGCCGAAGTTATGCCATCTTCCTAGACTCTTATACCCAAACTATAACATAAAATCTACATTACTAAAAGAAACGGGAAAAAAAAAAAAAAAAAAACACAAGCACACAGCTGGTTCAATAAAAAGTTCACATGGTAGTTTGTAACATTCAATAGTTTTGGATATAATATGAAGTCAACTTCAGTAAAATAATAAGTGCAAACTAGAGAAATATCTTTTTAAAAAATTGACTTAAGGAAGAAATGAGGTGGCAGATATAATAGGAAGAATGAAAAGAAATAAAAGAATGGCCTTTAAACTCACTATCATTTACATGCACACCCCCAACATAATCAGAGAGTTATAGAAATATTATCAACTAAATAATAAAAAATAAGAAAAATAATTTGGAAACAAGAAAAATAATTCAAGAGTAAAGAAACTGATTTGGTTTCAACATACAAGAAAAAATGCAACTTGTCTGTGATTCTTGTCGGAAGCAAGTTGTGCTGGCGTAAGGCCAGTATTATCGGTCACCACCAAATCCTCCTCCTTCCCAGCTTGCACTAATACTGTACATGCCTCCAAATTCCCCCTAATAGCTGCCCAATGGAGAGGAGTGCAACCTGAAATAATAAAGAAGGAAACATGAGCTCTAAAACTATTGTTCTTCTTAAAATATATATATAAATAGAAGTTCTCGCATTATATTTAAACTAGAAAGCATGCTTTTTTCTTGAGTGAAGCTTTTCAAGCCCTCCAAACATTACCTTCCTTATCTTGGCGTCCCCGATATGCATCCAAAAACAAGAGAAGTCGTATGCAATCAGCAAAACCTTTGTACGCAGCCCTAAGAAAACATGAAGAAATCAACGAGAAAAATATAATTCCTAAAACAATTTGTCAGAATATATTAAGACATCTTTAGCACAACACTCATTGATGGTTAAGAAATAGTAGTGCATAAAATAGTGCAAGAATTCAAGGACCATATCAAAATGGGGATTACCAATTATATTATAGCTACAAAAACAAATAGGATGAGAAGCAGAAATCCAAATAGTAAGTAAGATAACACATGATAATTAAACAATACCACCCAAAATCCCACATTTATAAGCACCATATGTGCATAAATATGAACAATACAACTCTGCAACTTTCTCAATCGGAAGCATTGTAAAAAAACTACTACCAATGTAACGGGCTCCTCCCATCATTGTCAGGAACATCAGGGTCCGCATTCCATTTTGAAACAACATGATAGAGAAAAGCCGTCTGACCATATTGAGCTGCAACATGGGTTGTCTGCAATCATGTCCATATAGTTACAATCAGTATGCTAGAAGGTGACATTCATTTGATGTACTAACTATCCATTCAATTTTGAACAATTTTTTAATAGTTAAAGAATGCCTCAAACAATAGCTAGAAAGCTACGATTCAAGACAGAAGATTGGCATTACCTAGTTAATGGTTCAGGAATAAGTTTCTGAATAGAAATCAATGTCATTTATTTATTTCTCACACAATTTAGTAGCAGGAAATCAAGAAAAAACGCAAATTTCTGTCCATGAATGTCTTGATCATCATTTTTTTTTTTTTTGTAAGAAACCAAGCTCTCATTGAGAAAATGAAACAATACAAGGGCATATAAAATACAAATCCGAACAAAAGAATACCAATGCTGGACTCCAATCCAAAAGAACAAGGGACCACACTAACTCTTTATGCTACACAAAAATATTATACTGTTTCTTCCTACCCTAGGCCATATAAATCCATGAACAGGAGCATTAAAGAAATTAACGATCAATTAATTGCTGGAGAGGAAATAAATATGACCTGATAACCATACATATCAGCAGCATTGACCATAGCCCCCTCTTGGAGTAAAACCTCAGCAACCTGGATGGCTCCACGAACAGCAGTCCAATGTAAGGCTGTTTGCCCAGTATGATCTGCTGCATTTACATCGCCTCCATGCTGGAAATGATCCAATACCAAATGTACTAAACAACTAATACAAATGAAAAGACAAAGTTTACATCTTGTGCTTCCGTTCTGTAGGTACAGACATCATTTAAAACCTCTAGCAATTGCCACACCCATCCAAATATTTTCACTTTGGAGGGGAGATTCAAATTAGAGCAAACTCAAGTTCACATCAACCATCAACCAGATAGAAAATCAAAACGAAAAGCCTTCCTTTCTTTCATTTCTTTGGTTTGCTTTCTCAACAACTGAAAATCAATGTTTCCCAGAAATTCCTTCTAGAAACTACCATTCACTAATTCACTTAAACAAGAGAAAGGCAGTTGAGAGAGCATGCTAATCCTCGATTACCCAAAGCCAATCGGATAATTAATAAAAACACAATTGTTCAAACCCAAAGGCAGATAAAGTAAAAGCAAAATCCATTCAAACAAAAAAGGGATCTGTGGTCTGAATGCAGGAAGGAAGGAAACCAATTTTACCATACGACCCACAGGCACAAAAACGCAGAATGGAAAGACAAACCTCAATGATATAACGAGCAGCAGCAGTGCGATTATTAAGAGAAGCCCACTGAAGAGCATAGTAGCCAAGGCCATCGGGCTCAGAAACGGAGCAACCCTCGCGCTCGACCAATCTCTGAAGCTTCTCCATATCGCCATAAGCTGCAGCCGTGTAAACGTCATTCCTCAGGCTCTCTTCACCTTCTCCATTGGCAGTGGAAGTAGAAGCAGAAGCAGAAGCAGGCTGCGAGGGCTCGTGATCCCGCGATTGAACCTCGTCGACGACCTCAATTTCCGAAGACATGATTTTAAAATTACGAACTGCGTGTTAATAATGAATCCGGTGGGTCTAGGGTTTGCAAGATCGGAGGGATTCGAACGAATTGAAGATAGAAGAATGGAAATTGAAGAGATTGGGGATTTAGGGTTTTTCCGGGAACGCCATAGGGGAGGAAACTGGTCGTTGCCGTCCGTGAGTGTTGACTGCTTGGACGGTGGCTGTAAGGGAGGAGAGAGAAAGAGAGAGAAAGAGAGAGAAAATCCAAGCCGTCTATGAACCGCATAGTTTTATCAGAAAAACTATAATAATTTAATATCATTCCTTTTTTTAATTATTAATTATTTTTTAAAAAACTTAATTAAATTAATATTTTGGTATAGTTTTTTTTAACATTAATTTGTTTCTTTTTCCAACTTTTTTTAATTATCAATTTTTATCTTAGCTATATTATTAAAAATAAAAATAAAAATTTAAATTTTTAAATTTTTAAATATTAATTTGATTTTAAAAAAACAATTATTTAAAAAAAAAAACAGATAATTATCAAATGATATTTTAATTTCTCAACCTTTCAAGTTTATATCAAAAAATTTCTCGAGCTTAAGATTATTTAATGAATTTATAAAAAAAATATTTTTTTAACCGTTTTTATTATATGATATCTATTTTTTTTTTTTAATAAAAAGATTTTTAAAATCGTATTATCCTCTCTTCGTTGAAATTTCTAGCTCGACCCTAGATATTTGAAAGGGACGAAAAAAATCAAAAACTAAAAAAAAAAAAAAAAAAAAACCCTAATATTGTAAGAAATAAATTAGATATTTGTAGGAAAATTAAATTAAATACAATTGTAATTGTTTATCTTCAAAGTCTTTTAAAAAAATGCATAAATAATATAAATATGTTGATCTATGATGGTAATTTTATATTTATCTAAATTATAATATAAATAATAAATCCAAAATTGATTTGATTCTTCAATAATTAACATTTTTAATAACCATTTTCCCATTTTTTATAAATAAAAATAGTCACTATCAGTTGGTAAAACGTCAGTTTAATGTACTTTAATTATCTTATAAGGGATTAAATTAGAATGTTAATTATTTTAATTAATTAGATATTATTTATTACATGTTTAATTTATTAATTTATTAATTTATTATTATGGCGTGTATCGGGTCATTACAGATAACCGGAACAAAAGATCCGACCCGAAAACATTTTATTTATTTTATTTTTATTTTTATTTTCAGATGCGAACGGAAAAAAGCCCTAATCGGACCAAACCCTAGGGTTTACTCTAACCGGACCACTAAACCCATCGGCTTTCTTCTCCTCGTTCATTTCCTTCAAGGTCTTCCTCTCTTTCTGCAAGTTCTCTTCTTCTCTCTTCGTTTCCACCTTGTTCTTCTGCGTGTTCGATCGTCATTTTTGAGCTTGTTTTCCATGGCTATGGAGTTGGAGGGCGTTGGCTACTGCGTGGATGATAGGTCTCTGTGGCTTTGCTCTGTTTTGGAAGCTCTGATGGTGGAGTCTGTTTTGACTGCTGTGAACTCTCTCGCTTGGATTCTCACCACGGTGAGCGTTTTGTTTTGGCTTTTTCTTTGATGCGTTTAGCTTGTGGATTCTACTGGTTTCTGGTTCTGATTTTTGCTCGTTGGAGCTTGAATTCTATGGCTCTCTTCATTTCTTCCCTATGTTCGCAGCTTACAAGCTTTATCGTTCGTTGTTTGAAGTTATTTGTTCATTCGTGAGTTATAATTGCTACAGGCGGGAAGTTTTAGCTGGAAAATTTGAGCATTGACTAGTGTGTGTGTGTGTAGAAAAGTATTTGTTCTAGTCTCTAGTGGTTAATTTAGAACTGGTTTTCAAACTGTAACAACGATTAAGCTTTCTTCCTCAGGCTTTGACCATTCCTTATTTAGATCGTATCCGAAATTCCTTGTGAAATTCTTTAAATTCTGTGGAAACTTTGTTTGAATTCGGCAAATCCCGCCTGTTTTGGAAATGGTAGTTAGAAACGGGACAGAATTTGCCCTTACAGTGGAATGGCTACTGTTTCATATGGTTCTTTTGAAATTTGTGTGTACTTTATTTAACTTTATCTATCTCTTTAGCTATCCTTGGGGCTTGGTGGTGTTTGTTGAAGCTTCATTATAGAATTTAGTGTCTGGTGAACACAGCTTATTCTTTCTGATTGCTTGTGGGCAGTTTCCTTTGTTGTTCTTGCAATCATGGAAGTAATCTACAGTTATGTCAGAATCCTTAAGATCTTCTTCCTGTGTGCAATGGAAGTAATCTACCATTATGTCAGAATCCTTCTTGACCCTATGAAACCACCCAGATCCACTGCCAGCAGATATTATCCTCTTTGGGTTTTCTCTTCCAGATTCACCGCTAGATATTGTCCTCTTTGGGCTTTCTCTTTCGGGCTTTCCCTCAAGGCTTTAAAAAACCTGTTAAGGGAAGGTTTCCACACCAGATATTGACCTCTTTGGGTGTTCCCTTTCGGGCTTCCCTTCAAGGATTTAAAAAGCGTCTCTTTGGGCTTTCCCTTTCGGGCTTCCCCTCAAGGCTTTAAAAAGCGTCTAGAGGAAGGTTTCCACACCAGATATTGTCCTCTTTAGGCGTTCACTTTTGAGCTTTCCCTTAAGGATTTAAAAAGTGTCTGCTAGGGCACCTTATAAATAGTGGTTTGTTATCGTCCCCAACCAATGTGGACACAGCCTAACTCATCTTTCTTAAATTTTGTCTTAATGATTGTACTCTATGATGAACCATACTTGGAATTTGTTACTATATCTGATACCTGCAGGCTTGTAATTTTGTTGATGAACACGTTGAATCTCAATTCACCTTCCAACATAACTAAGTTTTTTTTTTTTTTTTTTTTCAGGCAGGAGATCTGTTAAATAATGTCAATGCTCCAACAGGATTAGCTGCAGTTGGTGAAAAGTAATGAAAGTTCCATTTCATTTATATTGCTTACTTTCTGTTCTTGGTTCCAAGATAACTGATTTATACTACTTTCTTAGATTTCCATTCGAAGAACTTCACGCTAAGAGTAATCCCGATGAGGAAAATGTCGATGGCAGTGAAACAGAGAATGATAAAGATAGAGATGAAGTCGATAATGATGCGAATAACCAAGATGGTGGGGAAAGTGTTGAAGATTACTCGGCTGAAGAAGGGGATGACGGCGATCTAGAGGATGACCCTGCAGCAAGTGGCAACGGAACAGCTGGAGGTAATGAGGAAGGTGACGGAGGAGAAGACGAAGATGATGACGACGATGTGAATGACGAAGATGAAGACGACGACGACGATGACGAAGATTTCTCAGCAGATGAAGGTGACGAGAGTGATCAAGGGGATGACCCAGAAGTAAGTGGTAATGGAAGAATTGAAGACGGTGGAGAGGATGAGGATGAAGACGACGATGACAGAGATGAGGACAATGACAACACCGACGAAGAAGAGGAGGATGAAGATGAAGACGAGGAAACACTTGAACCACCAGCTAAGAGAAGAAAGTGAGTGAGGGGAATTTAGCCAGTCAGCCATCGCATTTAGGAGTAGGAAGATTGTTGACCCTTGTTCTTAATGAACCTCCTATATTTTATGTTGTGGATCCACACTAGATACCACAATTTATTTTGCTATGACAGTAAGTACTTTACCATTTATCATCTAATTAACCAGCTACTCAAATAACCTCCATTGCTACCGAATATAGATTCATAGAATTTTCTATCACATGCTTAATCATTTAGAACAAACTGAGCTTTTGTAGAAGTTAGTTTTAGCCCAAGCCCACCACCCGCCAATATTGTCCATTTTGGCCCATTACATATTGTCGTTGGCCTCATTCTCAAGGTTTCCATACCCTTATAAGAAATGTTTAGTTTCCCTCTCCAATTGATGTGGGATCTCACAATCCACCCTCCTTGGGGCCAGCGTCATTGCTGGCACACCACCCGGTGTCTGGCTCTAATACCATTTGTAACAGTCGTGCTCTAATACCATTTGTAACGGCCTAAGTGCTCTAATACCATTTGTAACGGCCTAAGTGCTCTAATACCATTTGTAACGGCCTAAGTGCTCTAATACCATTTGTAACGGTCTAAGTGCTCTAATACCATTTGTAACAGCCTAAGTGCTCTAATACCGTTTGTAACAGCCTAAGTGCTCTAATACAGTTTGTAACAGCCTAAGTGCTCTAATACCGTTTGTAACAGCCTAAGTGCTCTAATACCGTTTAAACAGCCTAAGTGCTCTAATACCGTTTGTAACAGCATTTAAACACCCTAAGTGCTCTAATACCATTTGTAACACCCTAAGTGCTCTAATACCATTTGTAACACCCTAAGTGCTCTAATACCATTTGTAACACCCTAAGTGCTCTAATACCATTTGTAACACCCTAAGCCCACTGCCAGGAGATATATCGTCATTAGCCTCACGGTTTTATAACTCGTCCACTAGGAAAAACTTTCTATATCCTTATGAGAAATATTTCATTCTCCTCTCCAACCGATATGAGATCTCACAATAGACTGGATTGACAACCGGTAGAGACAAATTTTGGAAAAGAAATCAATTCTCTAGTTTTTTATTCTACCCCCTGTCAAAGAGAACCATCTTAATTCAACTAAATCAATCCATTTCAACCACAAGCAATGCAACAAAGCAGACAAGCTTCTTTCAAAGATTATCATATCAAATATCAGCAAATTATGTTTCTCAATGTGCAATACTCATGCATAATGAAATAGCGGAATTTATTTTAAGATACTTGATGAAGAACACAATGGCATCTTCTTGGTTCCCAGTCTCCATTTCGCTTCATCGACAAGATCTCTGAGCCCTCGGCCAATGGAAGCCACACGAACCATATTCTAAATAAATGAAAACAGGATAAGCAAGTTTAGAGAAGCCATTGACAAGTTTGAGACCCTTGAGCAAAAGAAATCATCAGAACTTGTAAAGAAATCAAAATTGAGAATGTATCAGAAAAATCTCATCAACCAGACACATCCCAAAAATGTTAGCAAATGCATAAATTTCTTGAATAGCAGAAAATTTATGGATCAAAAGAAGCACATCCCTCATAATAAGAAAAAAAAAATTAGAATATATCATTCTTGAATCACTAAAGCCAGAAAAAAGACAATACAGATCAAAGGAGTAAATACAGAGATGTAGCCTAAGAAGCAGTAAGATATGGATAACATGTCGAACTAAGAATTACACGTTCGGGATAACTGAGTAATTGCCATCTTTACCATCTTATCATACAGAACCTGAATTATGGAAAACATGATCTCAAAATGTATAATGTGAACAACATTTTAATAACTAAGAACTATATTTTTTGCTATTTGGATTGCCAGTATTTGATCTAAGATTTCATGTTATCAATTCTTTCATTATCTACAAACAAGTTTGTATGACAAAAGTTTAAAGGGATGATTGATAGTTAATAATTACAATATACTACACCTCTTATTCAATTCAAAGAAATGCAAGCACCCCTGTTGCTAATTCAAACAAAGTGCTTGAGTTTTTCTCTTCCCTGTAAAATCTGATTATGTTTCTATCATCAAATGCCATTTACTTGAATAAGTACAGAACAATCTAATGCTGAAACTCGAAATCAAGAGAAGAGAAGAGTACGCTTCATAGAAAAACCAGAAAATTTACTTACAATTTACCTATGGCAGCTTCCCAGATCGAAAAATAGAGAACTTAGAAGCTTCAGAATACCAATACGCAATTTGATTCTCCTTCAATAGGTCCTCAATCATCTTCTTCGCTGCATCTGGATCGGTGCTTTCGCACTCAATCTCATACAAAGTCCCAAACTCAAAGCTAGACTCGTCCAGTTCCAATTTCAATCCATTCCATTCAAACACGCCCCTCACATTTCCAAACCCTCCCAACCCTACAAATCCAGAAGGCCCGAATTCATCTTTGACCCTTCCCATAATTCTAGACTCCACTTCTTTCAATCTCTGCGGATTCTCCACACAGGCCCGCCCAACAGATGGCTCCAATTCCTCCTCCTCCTCTTCAACTCGACTGACGCCGTCGACCAAAACCGCTCTGGCTTTCAGAGAGATTACACAACGCGCATCGTCATCGTAGAATCGGATACGGAGAACCGCTCGGCGAGCCGAGAGCTCACCAGACGAGCCGTCGAAGAAGAAATTCTCTTGGCGATGTGTTTTAACATGGAACGGCGAAAGAAGAGTTGAAACCTGACCATGAGAAACGGAATCCGGAAGGCGAAGCTTCACTTCCACCTCCATTTCGATTATTTCAAGAGATACCAAGGCGTTGAGCTTTGGAAGTGGGATCTTTGTTGCGATTGAGGTTGTGCAGGAGGGAGGCGGCGGCGGAGGTTGTGTCGGTGGTGGTGGACGCGGCGGCTGCTGCGGCGGCGGCGGCGCGTTTACGAGCTTGTTCGAGTTCTTCCTTGTCTTCGATTTTGACCTCGATCTTGCTGGGTTGTCTTCTCAGCATTTCGCTAGAGCTCAGTTCGCAGAGGAACCACAGAAATCTCAGGAAAATTAGGGAAAACGATGATGCTCTTTAATAGAAATTTCATTTCACAATTTCATCAATTTTAATTTTAATTTTAAACTAATTTTAGGTTAAATTAACCTTTTTTTTTAGAAAATCTTAAATTACTTTCTTTCTTTATTTATTTTTTTCTTTTTACATTTATCTAATAAATCCGTCATTTTTTAAAATAATTAACAGACTTGAAAATCTTTTATTTTATATTTAAAAGTTCTAAAAAAATTAAATTTTATGACTGAAAAATAAAAAAATTAAAGCTTATTAAGTCCATAGATTAAAATAAAATTGTGATTTTTTTTTTAAATTCAAAAGAATTAAAAATTAATAATTTATTCGACATTTTTAAAGTTTATAAAAAAAAAATCATTTTCTATCGTTTTTAATTTCTAATCGACGCCCATGAGTCAAACTCTTGGTCTTGGTCGAGTCTCATAGGGTTAGCCTTCATTGAACCATGGGCGACTTTACCTAAAGTCCACGACCATTTAAACTTATTTTGGATTTGGGTCGAGTAGACTTATCTCTGGACCTAATTCAATAACTCCAAGATGAATAGTTACTATAAATTTTAAATTATAGAGATTAAATAATTACATATTAACGTTAAGGGTAAAAATGACTTTCATTTTGAATATAAATTAAACCGTCAAAATATTTATTATTGTCAAATATTATTCAAAAATTAAAAAAATATATATTAACTTAAGTACAACTCAACTAGTTAACTATTTTGACATCGAGTTTCTACTTAAAATAAAAAATATTTTTTTTTTTCAAATTTTGTGAATTATATATATATATATATATATATATATATATATATATATATATATAATTTCAGTAGCAAACAAAATGAAGAGCCCTAATCGGACCAAAGCCTAGGGTTTACCCCAACTGGTCTTAAACCCAACTCTTCTCCCAAATCTCAGAAAACCCATTCACCTTCTCTCTCTCTCTCTCGCTGAATCACTGCCAGGCCCATCTCTCTTTCACTCTCTCTGCGAGTTTCCTTCTCTCTCTCTCTTTCTTGCTAGTGCCTCTTTCCCTCCACTTTTGAGCTTATTTTTGCGGCAATGGAGTTGGGCGGCGTGGGCTTCGTCGACAGAACCATGTGGGTTCGCTCTGTTTTGGAAGCAATCGCGGTGGAGACTGTTTTCACCACTGCAAACTCTCTAGCTTGCCTTCTGGCGGCGGTAAACCCTCATTTTCACATTACTCATTGATGGGGTTTTAGTTTTTTATGGTTTCCACTGATTTTAGTCATTGTTCTTACTTCTAGGAGCTTAAGTTTCTCTGCCCTTTGGATTTTCTTGTGCTGTTCTTTACTTTATTGGTGTTTGTAGGTCAAGAGCTTTCGCTTTGTTACTTCTAGTTTTACTCTAACTCGTTTGTTTTCTTCTCCGGTTATGGTGTTTCCATTACTAACAACGGGGTTTCTCTGTCATTGTTCTTTATTGGGTGCTGCTACATACGTGAAATTTTAGCTGAAAATGATAAACATTGACCTGTTTTGAAGCGAAGTGTTTGTTTTAGTGATAAATGTGGATGGAGGGCATGTTGTTTTCTCACGTTTTGGTGACGTTTTGGCTAAGAACAAGACATCTTTGTTAGGATTTTGCCATTATATAGTTAAATTATACTCGCTATGTGAGATCCCACATCGGTTGTAAAGGGGAACAAAGCATTCCTTATTCCTTATAAGGGTGTGGAAACCTCTCTCTAGTATATGCGTTTTAAAATCGTGAGGTTGATGGCAATATATAACGGGCTAAAGCGGACAATATCTGCTAGCGGTGAGCTTGAGTTGTTACAAATGGTTTTAGAGCTAGAGACGGTGTGCTAGCGAGGATACTAGATCCCCAAGGGGTGGATTGTAAGATCCCACATCTGTCGAAGAGGTGAATGAAGCATTCCTTATAAGGGTGTGGAAAACCTCTCCCTGGTAAAACGCGTTTTAAAACCGTGAGGCTGACGGCAATTGATGTCTAATCTTGTTCATTTCTAATGCTTTTTGTTCCATGTTGATGGGTTGGGTACAGAAATGCCTTTGCTGCTATGTAGATCGGTCAATTTCGTTTCTGAGCGTGCTTGATTGATATCTAATCTTGTTCATTTCAAATGCTTTTTTGTTCATCAAACTATAGCTATCCTTTGCACTTGGTGGTTCTTGCTGGAAGTTGATTTTCACTTCATTAGAATTTATAGTCATAATCTAATCAACTCCTGCTTTCTGATTTCTTCTGGGTATTTTCCTTTTTGGCTCCTGAACTTGAGGAAGTTCAAATGCACTTGTTTTGTTACTCTCAAGTTCTTCATGTCCCAACATCTCATTGGATCAATCGACTCGTTACAGAACGGGACAGAGAATCTCACTTGAATTCCTTAATTTTGGTGACTATTGATTTCAAGTTACTTAACATTCTCACATCGTCCTACAATTTTTGTGACTCTATTGCATAATAGACGTTTGTTGGCATTCCAACCTTCCTTCTCCTTTTAGGGCCCATCCGAAAGAAATCCAGTGTTTTTTAGTCGTGAATATCTGAATAGGACAAACCGCCCCGTGGTTTGCTTCTGAACAAAACAATTAGAATTAGGCTCGTTGAACTGGAATGTGTATTATCCATAAAGGGGATCTTTCAATGAAGAAGATCTGTCGACCTAAGATGAGGAGAAGGGTTTATCTATTTTATTTAGTTATTCCGTTAAACCAACAATTCGGCTTGACGAGTCATATCTGGTTAGACGTTTCAGTCCAGCCATAACTGGAAGTCTTGTTTTTCAATCCGATGCTTTGCTTCGAATCTTCTTTGAAGTTTATTATTTGGTGTGGAATTTCTTGATCTTGTTTAGGACAATTCCGACCATAAGAAACAATTTACTTGAGACTTTAATTCAGTTTGTTCTTCAGGCAGGAGCTCTGTTAAACGATGCCAATGCTCTACCAGGATTTGCTGCAATTGAGGAAATGTAATGAAATTTAATGTCATTTATGTGTTTTCACTTTAAATAAGTTTAGGTTGGTTCTGAGATTACTGGCATTTTCTCCTCTTCTAGGTTCCCTTTTGCCGAACTTCACCGAAAGAAAAGCCCCGACCAGGAAAACAAAGATGGCAGTGAAACCGAGGACGACGATGAAGATGACGACGACGATGACGCGAATGATCAGGATGACGATGACGATGATGAAGATTTCTCCGGAGGTGAAGAAGGAGATGACGGTGATCCCGAGGATGACCCTGAAGCAAATGGCGATGGAGGAGCTGGAGGTGATGACGACAATGGAGATGAAGACGACGACGACGACGACGACAATGGAGACGATGGCGATGAGGAAGAGGAAGAAGACGACGACGATGAAGACGACGAGGAGGAAACACCTCAGCCACCCACCAAGAAGAGGAAGTGAGGATGTCCATTGGCTCTCCCCATTGTCGAGTTTCGAGTTTCGAGTTTGGAGTAGTGAGGGGAGTTTAGCTTGTGTTAGCCTTTGGTTTAGGGGTAGAAACATTGTTGTTGCCCTTGTTGGTAATGAACTTCCCTTCTTATGTGTTGTGATGTTGTGGATCCATATTATATGTAACAATTTCTTTTGCTAAAATAGTTGGTACCTTTATATTTTCGATTCCTCGACCAAAACCGAGAACCAAATTCGATTAAGGTATGAACACAACAAATTTCCATTCAAGGTTAGAGGTGTAAATGGATCCGTTTTAATCATAGATTTAATCAAACTTTATCAAATTCTCCTTATCACTTGCAAGCTTCAAAATTAAAGACAACAATTTAGTTTTTGGGTTTCGTGAGTTCAAAACACAAGCTTCGGTGTGAGTCCACAAAAGGAGAATCCATCTCGATTTCAAATGAAATTATCTATGAAATTGTGTGCCTTAATCTAATGACTCAAGGAGACTTCCTCATGTACTCCCTAAACCTTTTCTAGAGACTTCACACTCACAGATATTGACCTTTTCCAGTCTCTCATATATGTATTCACAGAGGTTGACCTTTTCCAGAGACTTCACATTCACAGATATTGACCTTTTCTAGTCTCTCGTATATACCTTTTCCAGAGACTTCACATTCACAGATATTGACCTTTTCTAGTCTCTCGTATATATTGACCTTTTCCAGTCTCTCGCAGGGATCAAACTAAAACTTTCAAAACTATCTAGGTTATATTAAAACAAAACCCAATAATCTAAATTAAATTAAAATTTTAATATCATAAAAACTAAAGCAATTTTTTTAAATTATATGAATAAAATTTGTAAACTAACAAAAAAAAAAAAAAAAAAAAAAACTTATTTGAACAAATTAATTAATACTAAATCTACACTTAAAAATTAAAAATACTGGAACAAAAATCGCAGAAGCCATTAATGATCGACTGACAAGTCCTTTATTATTATTATTATTATTATTATTATTATTATTATTATTATTATTATTATTATTATTATTATTATTATTTGGTTGAGTTTGATATAGTGGGGACACGTGAAATCATTTTTCCAACTAATATTTTTATTTAAGATCTAAATATAACAATTTTTGTATTTATATATTTAAATTTTTTCTAATTTTAGAAAAATCCTCGATTTTTTTTATTATTTATAAAAATGATCTAAAATACAAAATATTATGTACATTAAAAATTTATATTTTAATCTCTAAATTTTTTATTTTAATTTCCTAATCATTTTTTATAAGACAAGGAATTAGGAGACAAACTACCTACAAATCATCCCGTGCCTAATCGTGAGTTAAGCTTCGCCACATCAATCGTCCATCCTTCTTCTTTCACTGAAGAAAATAATTCTTTTTATCGAGGATAGAAAGATAAGAATCGATGTTCAACATCTTTCATGTAATTGTTCATACTCAGTTAGCTACTATCGAGATATACATGTCTACCTTTACTGAAGGCTCTCGATACTGCAACCTGCAACCAATTGAAACACGAAATTTTCTTTTAATGATCTTAGTTGT